GCCCAGACTATCGGTGACAGGAGGCGGCTTGGTATTCTTGTTTCTAAAAACAAACGAAGGAGTTTAGAAAACTTAAGGCTGGATATGATTGACAGAAGAACTGTGGCTGTCTGTAAGGAGACAATTGGAACTGAGCTGCATGCAATGGGTTGGCAGAAAAGTCGAGGAATTCCATCACCGATCATGAAACCTGAACAAAAGGAGCGAAGGTTGAACTGGTGCTTACAGCATAGAAATTTGAACTGGGACAATGTGATTTTCTCAGATGAAAGTTCTGTGTGGCGGTTTCCTAATACACTGAAATTCTGGACCAAACAAACTGAAAAACCTTTGTATCAGCGCCCAAAGTACAGTCCGAAATTTAACGTGTGGGGTGGCATATCTGTGTATTTGAAGGGAATAAGAACAGTGAGGGGTACACAGATATTCTCGAGGGACATTTACTTCCATCTGCTCACGTGTTCTATGGAAATTTTTTGATTTTCCAGCAGGACAACGACCCAAAACATCGTTCAAAGCATTCACAGGCCTGGTTTCGGACCCAAAATATGACATTATTAGATTGGCCAAGCTATAGCTCTGACCTAAATCCAATAGAAAATGTTTGGGGACTTATGAAGGAAAGTGCCAATAAGAACAATCTGACAAATATATTTTTATTTTTTAAATTATTTTTCTATTTCAGAAACCCCTGTTACAAATTGGGGCTCCAGTTCTGGGAAGCAGAAGCCCCATCATTAAGGGGAAAGAGATTGAAGCAAAAGGCTTCTGTTGGTTTTGTTTTTTTTCAAGAGATTAGACAAGCACATTGCATTCACTCACACATTCACACTGACAGAATAGGTAGCAAATAACATAAAGTATATAGAATATAAGGAAAAATTACTAGCATACGATGGATGAAATGACACTTTGATGTTATATACTGTGATATAGATTTGGGTGAGAAGTTTAACATGGTGTTATACCGATGGCTTGGGATGTACTACTGGTCTACAAGAGCATGATACAACATCCATTTTTGATAGAATTTATTGTTACCACTTTTAGAGAAATATCTTGTTTTCTCAATCTTGTATCTCAACAGTCTCTTAAAACAAGTAATATTTGGAGTGGAAGAAGTAAGTTTGCATTTATAAACATGGAACTTTGCTAGTAATAAAATTAGATCAAACACTTCATCAGAGATAAAGTTATCTTTGTAACCAAAAATAACAAGCTCTGAAGTAAAGGTTAAGTCACACACATGAGAACATTTTTCAAGGAACAAGTCTGAGAGTGACCTCCAGAAAGTTTGAACATAATTGCATTCCCAAAATAAATGAACAAGAGTTTCAACACAATCCCGACAAAAGGAGCACTTGTTCCTTGATGCCATCTTAATCTTGGCCAAATAGGAATTGGTTGACAGCAATATAGCAGTATCCAGCTAAGCTTTGTGTCTGGTGTTGTCTTTATTGGTTTTAAGAATGTCTCTGTCCAGTTGAAGTCTACTGAAAATATGTTCTCCCATTTAACTTTAGCCTTGAAGACCTCTTTTGAAGCAGATAGGATGTAGTAATTAAAGTTTGCTCCCTTTTTAACAGAGAGTATACTTCTGACAACTGGGATATGATCCAAAAGTTCATATGAAGCAGGTCAATCAATTGAAAGACTCTTAAAGTAACTTTTGATTGCACAAAGAACACCATGGTATGTCACAAAACTGACCTTTAAATGAATTTTTTCTTCAAAATCCCTTACTGCCTTAGAGACAAATAGCTTCCATCAACATTCATGAAATCTGATATTCTGCCAATGCCTCTGTTGTCAAACCATGAGGATTTAAATACTGACTTATTGGCAACCAAGACATTATTGTTATAAAACACAGGTTCTGTAATGAAATCTTCAAACGATTGTGTAGAAATTGTACAAGAGTATTCGTGAAGTACTAACAGACAATTTTTCCAGAAGGTATTTGTGATTTTATCACTAAATGTTTTCGGAAAGACAGAACCGAAACTAGAGATATTCATGCAGTCTGGAATAGAACTAAAAAGCAAATATTTCCATTTTGGAACAGTTTCAACATTAAATAAACATCTGACCCATCTCAATTTGAGGGCTCCAATGAATTTGTGAATATCAACCATGCCCAAACCACCGTCCTTATGTGACTTACAAGCTAGTGATCTCTTGATCTTGTCAGGCTTACCACTCCAAAGGAACTTGAATAAACTTTGATTTAATTCCTTCAAAAAGTGTCCTGGTGGGTTGGGTACAGTCAAGAATAGATAATTGAGCTTGGATACAAGTACAGATTAAATAATTGCAATTCTACCAAGTGGGGTAACTATTCTTTTCATCCATAGGGTAATGATCTGACGTATTTCGACCAACTTGCTATCATAATTCTTTCCGAACATCTGACTCAGATCTGTATCAAAATTGACACCTTGAATCCTAAAGGTGTCTGGGTTCCATCTTATTTTTTGGGTCAGGTAGATATTTTACAGAACAGTTTTTCTTTGAGCCAATCCATACAACTTCAGATTTGTCATAATTGATATTTCAAACCTGAAATACCTGCAAAAAGATTTAGAGTATCAACAGTAGATTCAAATGAAGTCCTTGAGCCATCTAAGATGAATTCTGTGTCATCTGCATACTGAGTGAGAAGATATTCCTCATTACCAGCTGTGATGCCTCTGATGTTCGGATTGTTTCTTACTAACCCATCCAAGATTTCAATACAAAGAATAAAGATATATGGCGATAAGGGATCACCCTGTCTACAACCTCTTTGAATGTAGAACCAAGGTGACAATGAGCAATATCGTCCTGACATGAATCCACTTTGATCAGTACTAATCAATTTAGGAAGAACTTTCTTTAACCTTTCTGCAAGAATGGAGGATAAGAGTTTGTAAGCACAATTAAGGAGTGATATAGGTCTCCAGTTCTTGAGGAATCTTTTAGGTTTATCTCCTTTAGGTATGCAAGTGATAATACCTTGCTTTTGAGTAACTGAAAGACTGCCTTTTGAGAAGCTGTAGTTCAGCGAAAGTAAAAGGAACTCTGAAATATCATTCCCAAAAACTTGTAGAATTCATAGGAGAACCCATCTGAACCTGGGCTTTTATTGTTGGATGAGTTTTTCAAAGACACAAGTAATTCTTTGGATGTAATTGGATACTCTCATCATCACCCAGTGTCCGTACATCATCCTCAAACAAAAGATCATCCAAGTCCTTTTCTACAATTGAGGGTTCCCTGGATTCATAAAATAGCTTAGCTTCTTGAGCAATATCTTGGGTACTAGTCAACACTAATCCATCACTACTTTCAATAAATGTCATCGATTTACTGACATAGTTTTTATTTTCTAAATTGCAGAAATATTTAGAAACCTTCTCTCCTTCGTCAATCCATCTTGCTCTGGACCGAATAATAACACCTTCCATCCTTTTTTTCCTAATCTCGTTTCTCTTAGAATCTATCAAGTCAAAGTCAATAGAAGTATTGCTATGTTCTAAATCTGCAATTTCAGTCTCAAGATCTTTTTCTTTTTTATTGCTGTTGCGTTTAACATAAGAGTATGAAATTGTCTTACCACGAATTTCCATAAGCAAAATTTCAAAAATAATTGATGATTGATTTTAAATGATACTTCTGGGTCTGAGTGTTTTAGGTCAGAATCATTCACATCATCATCTATATTGGCAACATTGACCTTATACTGATTGACAACATTGGTGATTACCTCTTTTACTGCATCAACATATACTTTGTCTCTTAATAAAGAGTTATTAAATTTCCAGTAAGTATTCTTTTGTTCTTCACTGAATCTGACAAATATTGCTGAAATGAAAGAAGAGGTGGTCCGATATTGGGACGGCATGGACCACGACTTTCTAACTTCATTGATGAGTAGTATGCCCCACCGCATTGAAGCCTGCATTGATGCCCATGGTGACTTGACAAAATACTAACTGTTCACCTGTCATTGAATCTGGAGTTATGTTCTGCGAAAATTCACATTTAATACGTGAGTAATGAGTGAAAAAAATATTTAAAAAATACAATCTTTAAATTCTCAATAATTTCTGGTTGTACTGTAGTTCTGTGTACACTAGTACGGCACTGTGAGCTCAATCCCATCAAGATGATCTGGGGTAACTGTAAGAATTTTATTGCTCGCAATAATACCTCATTCAAGCTTTCAGACGTTAAAGAGCGTGTGTATGCTTCTTTTGCGAGAATTACCCCAGAAGTGTGGCAAAAGGCTGAAGACCGTGTTTTCAAAATCGAGGACGAATACTGTCTGCGGGACGTTAACGTAAGCGAGTAGCACCTGTTGTAATTCCGCTAGAGTCCTCGCCCAGCAGTGATACTGACACTTGATATTTTGAGATGGTCCCTGACATGCACTGCCCGTGCGTTACATAACGCTGTCACCCTGTCTGCCTGCCAGGTGGGTCACAGTATAGTTTGTTTCTTTGAAGTGTTTTTCGATATTTTACGAGTAATCATTATGATTAGGGAATGGTACATCGTGATTACTCATATGCCATATTAGGTCGAGGTGGTATGAATGATTATATATGAGTTTTGAATCTGAAATATCAACCATTATCAAATAATTGCCAAAACGCAGTTTCCAAGCATTTCTGGCCTTACTTTTTTAGGACAAACATTCAATGAGTTAGGCTGAAAGCTTCTGGAGCCCTATCAGCTTTCTCCTGAACGTGTTTGTGAAACATACTGACCCTTTTTCTGCCTTTGGTGATGCCTTTTCATCCCATGTAGCTGGAAGAGCGCCAAACACAAACCAAACATTTTTTCATCCGTCACATTAACTTGAACTTATGCATATCTCCAAAGAGAATGTTGAGACTGACAACACTGTGCATCAGTCTAGTGTGGGAGTATGTGTTTCTTGTAGATGTTTCACAAGAGCTCATGAATGTTCTCACAGTGCATAACTACAATGCATAAACAAAACGACACTGATCACAAATGGTAAGACTGATTTTATTATGATGTACTTGGCAAAATATGAACCTTAAAAACAAATTGGATGATTTTACATTGCTTTTTACAATTTCAAATCCACAAAAGCACCAACTATAAATGATAAAGGAAACTTTTATGTAAGAAGCTTACTAGAGTAAACTCCAAGTCATAATATGGTAGGGCATAAAAGCATAAAAATGATCAAGTTTCAAGCCATGAAATACTAACAAATATGATGCAATCAAAAGTACTTGTACAAAATATGTGGATTTATTCATTATGTTCAATAATTGATTGAAACAAATACCAAACAATATTCCTTCCAAAGCAAGATGAAACCAATACTTACAAACTCGTGATGATCAAAGTTCCGAACATTGCAACATATTTATTTCCACATAGAACAAAATTCAAATTCTTCTGCTCTGTATTTAGTAATAGTTTATTTCATATTCTATAAATACTGATTCTTTTAACATCATGCATCATTCATAACTTGTAAATCTGATGTTTCCAAATATATTTAGTACATTATTCTGGAAGTGCAACAATTTGTATTGAAGAACAGCAGCATGTTAATTATGTCTCTTGGGTGGCAACACCAGAATCAATTGAATATTCATTGGTCAGACACAATAACTCTTTCCCTTAACTGTAAGTTGCTAGACACAATTTGTTATGATGATGAGGTGTGGATCATAACCAGCACAGATGTAGAATGTGTTTTAGAACTCTCTCCTGTGGTACTTGTCTGGGTCATAGTAAGAGGTGACAACAACACGATTTGAGAACTTCCTTCCTGTCAGAGCTTGTTGGGCCTTCTGACAATCGATCACAGAGTTGAACTCAACAAATATCTGAAACAAATTCAAAACATTTTGTCATTGCACTAATAACACACTCACTTATATCCAATTTTAGAGATATACATTCAGAAAATTATGAAAGAAAATTTTGGAATTAATATTCATTATTTGAAATGTGTTCTGTACTAGTTTACGCTTATCTGTTGATAATAATTACTGAATGACACAAATATATGAACATACCTTGCCAAGTCCTGGGATTTCTACCCCTTTTATTGGTCGTGGAATCTCGATACTGCGGACAACGCCATACTTGCCACACTCTTCTCTCACATCTTCAACAATATCTGTAAACAAGACACACAGACATTAAACATGATTGGTTTGACACTATTACATCCCAAAATAGTGAGTAAGTGCAAGCACTTCTTGCCCTCAACAAAATGTACACTGTATGCAGACAAGATGAAGTTGGACTCTGGTGAGCACAGTCAGCAAAGAATCCACCATTCTTCAGCTACATCTCAGTCAGGGTCAAGAATCCAGTAGTTGACTATATGAGCAACATTCAACATTAGAACAGTAGAAACAAAACCTCTTTCAAGCTGGTGCTAAGGACTTTCTGCTCAGTAATCCCAGGTTGCAGGACTCACCTTCATACTCCTCCTCATCCTCAAGCTCCTCTGCCAGAATCATGTTCATGAGGCACAGTACCTCAGTGGCTGGACCAGCACCTTGGTTCAGGTTCAACCCTGGTACCTGTAACTGTACTGGAGCCTGGAACATTCAAAAATCATGTCAATCCTACATGTATGTCAGAAGTGTAAGGCTAATATGTCAAATGAAAATTCGAAATTGAACTTCACAAATGTTTATTCATCATTAAGCTTACTCAATGAAGTAGTTATTTTTGGAGACTGTATTACCACTTGCATCTTAGAAGGTTCTAGTCTGGCCAAATACTGGACTTCCCCATTTACAAGACAAAATACTTTTGCTGAACACCTGAAAGACCCCAGGAACTCATTAATAAATGCCATGACAATGTAATGTAAAACAAGAACAGAACAGAACAAACAGAACTTCGTATTTCCTGCAATGCATGTACTCACATTCTGTGCATTCTTGGCCCCAACACTTGCCCGCTGTACAATGAGTTTCTTGTCTCCGAGCTGCATGCCATTTAATCCTGCACATGCCTGCAAATATATGAGTGAGTAAACATGATCTTATATCCTCACCAATGACACTACAATCACTGCAACACAAACCAGCACTTGTCATCAATACCAGTCTTCTGGGAACACTAGAACCACGTTGAACATGACTAAGAGTTCCTCCACTGAACATGTCCAGTGCCTGCAGCTAGTGTTTACCTACCTTCAGCTGCCTCCTTAGCAGTGTAAATGAAATACACACGTTCAAATGCAAAGGTAAATCAAATGAAGTTGCTACCTGATCAGTGATGTTGACATCCACATATTCACAGAATGCATATCCTTTTGATAAGCCAGTTGCACTGTCCTTCACCAGGTTGAAAGCCTTCAGAGGTCCAAAGGAGGTCAGCAATTCCTTTACCTACAAAGCACAGAATGATAATATACCACAGTGTTGAGCAATATCTAACAAAAACATCTTTGAAAAGTATTCATTAGTTAACAAAATGAGTTAACCATTGGCCTATATGATTGTAAATTATGTCTTTTTAAATTTCAGACGCTTCCACAATGTCCCTTATCAAATCAACGCAAATCATATCACATTTATTTAAAATATGGTTCTGTAATAAACATGATAAAAATGTTGTAAGGGATCATAGCTACATAGATCATATATCCAATGATCATGTGGGCTATACTTACATTGAACCTGGTAACTAGCTTACCTAGTGGGTCTGTTTGTACCTGTCAAATTTTAACTAATCAACATGTGCATGCCTTGATCCAATAAACCCACCCCTTAACCATTTATCTGACATTCTCATTGTTTCCCACAATATCTCAATTCATACCCAAAACATCCTACTCGCTTCAAAATCAGAGCTACACTACAATATACTTATCATTAATCAATTATGCATGCATTACCAAATTCGTCAAACTATCTACAATGCACCAACACATTTCATACTAAACAAACAAAATGTGATCTGTGTCCAGCAACATGCAAATGTTCAAAATCCATATCTTAAAATTATTTGAACACTCTAAAACATTAATTTCATAAAAAATAGAAGAGAGCTTTACCAAAAAGTTATTCAGTTCCATTAAATGTTACAACTTGCATGTTCCAGAAAACAATGAGTTTGAAAGTAACAGAAGACTGCCTGACATGACACTACACCATATAAGTGTGTAATACACGCAAGAAACCCTAGCGACATAACCATTCACACCAACATGTTCATGTACTTCATAGCATGTACATTACTGAAGAGAACTGGTCAATATTGATCGACAAATGGGATGCAAACTTACACATGAAAGTGCAAAAGCACTGAGGGTCCCCCATAGTGAAAGCACTTTCAAACAAAAATGTAACTTGCCTGTGTCTTGGTTGGGCACATATAACAACAGTTTGCTCATGTTAGGAAGAATTGTAAACGGTGGGGTTTTCAAGCTCTTCCCCTAAGCTAGGGAATGAAAGGGGGAAGAAAACAGAAGAACAGATCAGTACTTGTGTCATTTGCATATATCAATCACAAAAACTACAGATCTGGAACAAGTCATGATCAAGAGTGGAAATGGCACCTCATGTCATTTACTTCTTTTCTTATACAAGGCAAAACAGTTCTTGATGAAAATAGCTGTTATTACTCTAGTGGCTTACAATGAACACGGAAATATTGTACTTCACTATTGTAACAATCTACTTACATAAATTTGCAAATAATTTGAACACAACCGAAACATAAACATAACCTGCAAAAGATTTTGAGCTGAAAGAGACAGCCTGAAAAGAAGACTGCAGCTGCAGCTGAAAAAGAATCACTGAAACAAAGAGCCTAGGCTAAGGTGCTCGCAATTTTGAAATTTGGAACAATCTGTTTTAAACAGCCAAAATTAGACACAAGCCAAACCAATCACTTGTCTTGCTATCATATCATCAAGAGAACCTGTCAACCCTATGGGAAGCTAGAAAGAAGAACTGTTACAAACATACTATGTCGGCAGACCTGTGAATCTAACTGCTATGACATTTCAAACTTAGGGTTATGGATGTAAATTTATTTGGGGTCATAACCTGCTCAGTTTCCTATTTAGTCTATTTTGATCAAAATCATGACATGTTGATCTGAAAAGAAAAGCCAAGAGCCATCTTACTGGTGTAAGATACCTGCCCTGAAACAAACTTGACCACATGACCCTGAGAGCTTCTTCCCTATGCAGCAACCAAGACACATCAACACTTGCCCCCACTCGGCATGGTGGATGAAGAAGGGCAGAACGGTGGACGCCTGTAACCAACACCAACATGGCACTGGAGAGGGGGCAGCACACAGACTGATCAGCAGTCTACATTTACCTCAACCAACGCCCCCTCTCGTTTCAGCTCCAGCAAAACATACCTGGTCCTCATTGAGGTAATTTGGCAATCCACCAATGAATACTTTGTGTGCCGAGTCCTGGACTACTGTTGAAACAACACCTGTAATAGAAGAAACTTAGACTGCAATTGGCTACTTGTTATCAAAGCAGAATATCAGTTTTTAGTGTTCAAAATATGGACTATGAGATGGACCCTAGACTTCAATGCATAATGTAAAAACAAGGTGTCTCTAGAATAAAAGAGTTAAATACAATCACAGAAAACCTCAAGGAACCAAGAAACTCCTTTAACTTATAACACTGGGTTAAGAAAGAAACATCTTGACAGATATTTTATGATGGTGAGTGAGTGAGTGAGTGAGTGAGTGAGTGAGTTTAGTTTTACACCGTATTTGGCAATATTCCAGCTATATGGCAGTGGTTTGTAAATAATCGAGCCTGGACCAGACAATCCAGTGATCAACAGCATGAGCATTGATCTGCGCAATGGGGGAACCGATGACATGTGTCAACCAAGTCAGCGAGCCTGACCATCTGATCCCGTTGGTCGCCTCTTACGACAAGCATGAGTTACTGAAGGCTCATTCTAACCCGGACCTTCACTGGTGAGTGAGTTTGTTTTAGTTTTACGCCGCTTTTAGCAACATTCCAGCAATATCACGGTGGGGGGACACCAGAAATGGGATTCACACATTGAACCAATGTGGGGAATCAAACCCGGGTTTTCGGCATGACGAGCAAACGCTTTAACCACTAGGCTACCCCACTTCCCCGATGATGGTGGGGGAGGTGGAAGTGGTGGTGGTGATGGTATTAAATTTTGTGGAAATAGTGAATCAAGCAACCGACAGCAGATAGTTTAGGAATGACTATTAGTAACCAATACACACAGTTTTAATACACCCAGAAAACCTACCTGGCACAGCCACTGACGGAGTTTCAGCCATCCCCGGGAGGGGGCTGGTAGTCTCTCGGGCGACGGATCTTCAATGATTGCCCTTGGAAGTTGATGCCATCGAAAGCCATTGCCTGAGTTGTTTCATCCACTGATCGGAACTGTTGTAAAATAAACGTTTTATTACAGGTGGAGTTTTTAGTGGAAGATAGCTGCTTAACATTTGGTTCAAACAAGCTAGTGTAATAAATCAATGTTAGTTTTTCAGTGCCATGCATCACAAAGTAAGATGTCAAAGGTAACACATTTTCTAGTACCATCAAGAACGAGTGTGCATTACTATAAGATTAGCCACTTACATCTTTTGGTGAAGTATTTTAGGTCTATTAGTTGCTCATGGTAAAAAGGGAATGCTTCTTAGCAGACAGGCGTTCTGCATGTCAAATATGTTATTCTGACTTCATAATGTGAAAATACAGATCCAGCATAATAAAATACAGCATGTAAATATCAGTGGAATATTACGAAGCAGTGAATTTTGCCACAGCCAAAAAGGCAATAGGACATCATTAGATCACCTTTCATTCTATTCTATACCATTGCCAAATTGAACAAGCATTGTCACTAAGGTGACATAATCACCCGCCGCAAATTATCAAATCAAACTTATAAAGTAATGAAAGTTTAAGATGAAGGTAAATGTCAACAAAAACATGACCAGTCTTGAAAATATGTGTGTTTGAACAACTAAAGAGTAAGATATCAAGAGAGGCATCTTACTCTTTAGTTGTTCAAACACACACACATATTTTCAAGACTGACTTTGACCATGACATGAATGTCATAGTGTATGAAATATGCAAAAATAGTACTAAAGAAATTGCTTATTGAAAAACATTCACGGGAAGTCTTGAAAGTCTATGAAGAAAATCCTGTGAACCGTTCTTGAAATATCTTGCTGACAATTCAGGTTAACATGCTGAAATCTTCAAAGTGTCCCCGTGACCTTGAAAATTATGTGAAGGTCATCAAATTTGCCTGGGCCCTGCGCTTTCCCTAGATAAAGCTTGGTATTGAATATGAAGAAAAATCCAGTCAACGGTTGAGATATTTCAATTCGTCCGTACAGACAGACGTAGCCTAATACTATATCCCCCGCTTCGCACTAAATGCGCGGCGGGGGATAAAAAAATATGTTCAGGACATATTCGATGTCAGTCTGGCACTGTCTTACAAATAATGCCAATCTATATGATCCAATGATCCTACTGATAAAGTATGTGCTTCAGTATCATGACATTTACAAATTTTCTGGTTGCCACATAACAGCAATGTCTAACCTCTAAAAATGCAAAGTTTTTGTCCAAGTTAATCTGTACAGCAATAACTGGATTTCCATCAGCCTGTGCAAGACCAGTAAGTTTCATCTGATGATTGAAGAAATCCATCATGGCCTCCTGAAACAAAGAGTTTTCATTATTCTCTATTACTATTTGAGCAAATAGCAGATAAACCTCTAACAATGACAACAGTTTAACTATGAAACAACAACATTCACCATATGTAAAACACAATATAATTTGCTGCTAATAATAAACCAACAAAAACCTAAATATACATTATAAAAATGATGCATATTTATGATAAAGTCTAAAGGGTCTTCTTTTATCAAGTTTTAATAACTATGAACCCAACTGAGAAATGCCTACAAACCTCTGTGACACCAAACGGTATGTTGCCCACATAGAGACGTCTGGCCTGCCGACTGATAGCACTACCAGCAAAGGGTACAGTTGTGTTTGTTAATGTTGTACCTCCAGGTGCCACGGGTATTGGAGCTGGAGGCATGACAGGAGCTGCAGCTAGATGAAAGACAAACCCAACATTAACCAAGACAGTCCTCCACTCAGCAGCAGATATCTTGTAACCATGGTAACAGTTGTGACACTAAAAATGAGTAGAATAGAAGTGAGGATAAATAACAATAGTTTTGAGTTATGAGAAAGGGTTTAAAGGTCTATCCGTCAAGATTCATGGATTGTGCATTGATTGTTGCAGTAGTTACTGTAAATGGTTCTGCCATGTATGGACATTGCTTTGTTGAGTTGTACAGCCCTTTAGATCATTCTGAGCTGACATTTGTCACAGAACTTGTCGCCATCTTGTGATGAACACAACAAGAAGACAAAGTCATCAATATCCCCCGCAACAGCAAAATACTCTTTATGACTATGTCTGCTAGTTATGATTATGTCAAATGTTTTGGAGTGTATACAGCAAAGTGGAAGGAGAGTATTGAAAGGTTTTTAAGATCTGCTCCAGAAAGGAGCACTACCAGCAATTTAAGTTGAAGCCTAACTTGTTGCCATGGAAATGCAACAAGATGATATCCTCATAGTCACAGCCAATGATTTAGGGAACATGCTTGATATGTGCACCAAGTTTGATGAAGCTAGCATGTTTAGTTTGGGAGATCTGCTCCAGACAAGATGACATCCCCATAGCCACAGCCTAAGTCATGTTTCCATGGAAACAGCAAAAAATAAAATTAATATCTGGGTCTAATCCCCAAAATGCACATCTAGGGATCATGCTTGATATGTGTACCAAGTCTGATGAAGCTAGCACTTATAGTTTAGGGGATCTGCTCCGGACAAGATGATATCCCCATAGCCACAGCCTAAGTCATATTTCCATGGAAACAGCAAAAAATAAAATTCATATCTGGGTCTCAGCCCCAAAAGGCACATCTAGGGATCATGCTTGATATTTGTGACCATGATTACAACACAGGTAAATCTCGCATGTGTTGGACAAATTTTCTTTCTTTCCACTGATCGTTCACTACTTGGGTAATAATCAGTTATATTAGCAGGCCTTGCCATCCATTTTCTCTAATGATATGTGAGGCTGCTGACACTGGAGCCTATTTGTCTGGAATTCCCACAGTAATCTAGTTAATAAAGAGAATCTTTCATTATCAATTTACATGAACTTGCTACAGTCTTACTGTCAGTTCTGCAGACAATTCTGGTTGTATTACCTGGTTGGAAAGGATCTCCAATGGGATTTGGGAACTGGGAGGGTCTCCAGCTTGGGAAGAGCAGCAACTGTTAATAAATCAGCATGTTCAGAGAATATGAAGATTCCACCGCTATAAACAGTACGCATGACTATGACTATCAAACAATATTACCTTGATTCCATGTCAGTCATATAACTTATCTTCCGGACTGTTTCTTTTTAAGCCATTACTAGTGTTCCAAAAACATTGCCACAATTAATGAGATGATAATACAACGTTTGAAAGCATACTGATGGGTCCGACATTTTCAGAATATTTTTAATTCTACTATGTTCTCAAGCAGAAGACTGAGTTTTTATTACTCATACTTGAATCATAAGCCTGTTCACATATCTGCAGAGACAGATCATTTCACATACCTGGAACTCCTGGTACATTTCCTGTAAAGAAGAAAAATATAAAGTACAAAGTGTAAAAAGTGTGGATAAGTCCTCCAACTTATCCCAAGAGAATCATAGTGAGAAACTGATAACCCTTTGAGTACCAACCCTTTGTTTGAAAGTTGTAAAAACAGTAACTTGGGCAGTATATGTAACTTTATCATGTGGCATAATTGGGTGAGAACTACTACTTTAAGGATGCCTCAACAGTTAAAAAAAATAGATAGTATCACCTCAATATTATGCAAGTATTTTGGGGACCTGTTCTTGTCAATGACCCTTTTCACATTATGTATAAAAAGAAATCCACTTGTTCTACCTTGCATGGCTTTGTACTGCATTGGTGTGATGTGCTCAAACCCAGGTGGGGGAATATCCCAGTACTTGTATGGCTTCTTTCTCTTCCGAGTCTTATCCTTTGGGGAACGACTGCAACGACACATTCATGTGTTGTAATAAAATACAACCTTGACCTATAAAGTAACTACTTCAGGTATACAGCATCATGATCTTTATCACTGCAGGGATTAAAAAACTAAATTCGGACTGATTTATCCTTGATAAACTCAATCTTCCTACACATACAACATAGTCATAATAATTCATATTTTAGGCCAAAAAAATAATATGTCCCTTACCGGTTACCCGACCAACCCTATCCTAACCCCCTAAATCTTTTTTTAACCAAGTCAAAATCATGACTGGAGTGCATTTCAACTCAACATTTTCATCCAAATCGAGTACGATATTTTCATGTTTTACAGTGTATGTAGGGCTAAAATGGATTGCACTGAATTGGCATAATGGGCTCTCACTGACAAAAACTGCAAATAAATAACATGAATAATGATTTGATATAGAAATCTTTCAATGTTTCCTTCTTCCTAGTCTTATCCTTTGGGGAGCGACTGCAACGACACATTCATGTGTTGTAATAAAATACAACCTTGACCTATAAAGTAACTACTTCAGGTATACAGCATCATGATCTTTATCACTGCAGGGATTAAAAAACTAAATTCGGACTGATTTATCCTTGATAAACTCAATCTTCCTACACATACAACATAGTCATAATAATTCATATTTTAGGCCAAAAATAATAATATGTCCCTTACCGGTTACCCGACCAACCCTATCCTAACCCCCTAAATCTTTTTTTAACCAAGTCAAAATCATGACTGGAGTGCATTTCAACTCAACATTTTCATCCAAATCGAGTACGATATTTTCATGTTTTACAGTGTACGTAGGGCTAAAATGGATTGCACTGAATTGGCATAATGGGCTCTCACTGACAAAAACTGCAAATAAATAACATGAATAATGATTTGATATAGAAATCTTTCAATGTTTCCTCACAAGGCATTGTAACAACATGATATAGTATCCTTGAAAACATTCTCAGGTACCCACCTTGTACTACTAAAAAATAAAAGTAAAATAAGGTAAAAAAAGAAAGAAAAATCGAACCACCTACCCTATTTTTAAAAAGCATGTAATAGGAAACAGACATATATTCTTTTTTGGCCTTACTAAATTGATGCCATGAAAATGGAAAACATTCTTAAAAAACCCTAAACAGCAAAGGGTACCACTTCCGTTTGTGATTAATATATCTCCCAGGTTGGAATGAAAAATATTGAATAGTTTTTCAGTTCTGATTCTTTGTTTCCATGATACCCTGGAAAAGCAATGATGACTGAACACTAACCTCCTAGATTTGCGACGACGATCTTTATCTTTTCGTTCTTTTTTCTCTTTGCTTCCAGACCGTCTGCGTCTCGGTGACCTAGACCTCCTCCTCTCTTTCTCACGTGGTCTTTCTTTTTCATGGTTTGCTTCAAAGAAGATAACAAATGATGATCATCAGTGATGAAAAATGAGACACGTAATGATTCGCCTTGATTCGTATCTTGTGTCAGTTTTCCAAGACCCCTTACAGTACCGTTAGCACAATATTTGGCTGTGAACTCCATTTTTATAATGTATTGCATGCTTGACATTACAAAAAGTATAACAGGAATGTCTCAATTTTCAAGACATGTTAATAAGTTTAATTCCTTTATATCTAGCAGTAATTTTTTGCCATTTTCAATATCAAATAATCAGGATAATCTTGATAAGCTATAAAGCAAGGTCATTTGATAGACATTTGAAAAGAAAAAGTGCTTCACAATGAGAACATAAAATGACCATATTAACCAATCAATCATACTGTTATTGGTTTCATGTATTTTAATCTTGCTTGATCAAGTTTCCTACTTCCTTTCAAGTCACTCTTGCTTCATGTGTCCACACTTATGGTTTAAGACTTATCAACAATCTAGGTAGGTAATAATTGATTTTCATGTTTCTAATATAAATACTTTAAAATAGCTTTCTAAAACCATTTGATGGAGAAACAGTTTAACACCCATAATTAGAAATTCTACAAGTTTTACTGACTTAACAATGGAGCAACTTTGCTTGGGAGTAGTGGGTTTTTTTGGATTTCCATTTGTGCCGCATAGGATTACACTCATGTTTCTAACTTGCAGTTTAATTAGGCTAGTAACTTTATTCAATAAGCAAAAAGACAATCACACAAAAGCTTTTCCTTTCCCAAGAGATCAACACTGGATTGTTTACCTTCATGCACATACAGAGTAGCAATTTTCTCCAAAGCTGAAATTTTATATTTAAAATTCAAAGACTTTCCTCAAATAAGAGGGGACTAATTAATATAAAAATTTACCCAACAAACATCCTATCTTGAGTAAAGTAAAGGGGAACTAACACCAAGGATTGTACTGAGGTATGTAATCCTAACGATTGAATGGAGTGTTTGAAGTGGTGACCAAACCCCCTAATCATGCATTGGTGTTTGGTTGAAAACAGCATCCATGGGCCAAGGAAAGAGCTTGGGTAGTGGGTAAGGTTTTATGTCGCTTTTAGCAATATTCAAGCAATATCAGCAACCAGGAACAAAAGGAATGGGCGTTACACATTGTACCAATGTTGGGAACCGAGCCAGGTCTTTGACATGACAAACAAATGCTTTAATCACTCCGCTACCCTCATCAACCACAGTTAGGTAACCTGCCTGAACCCCTAAAGTAGCTAATCTGAAAGGACATGGAGATTAATCAACAAGATCCATAGACAGTTCCCCAAAACCATTGTCAGTTGCATAAGTTAAGTTCATTGGGAAAGACTTCCTTCTGTTCCCCCATATGACTGCCCACTTCTTTCTCCCGCAGATTAGCAGAGGTAACGCAACATGGTTCGACCCTATATATTGTAATACATTTTGGGGCTTTTAGTTATTTTTGTGAGGTTTATGTTAATAATGTTAGCATATATTAATTTTTAAATATTATTTGGGATGGGATAAGGGAAGGAATTCTTTTGTCCTTCGGCCCACTTGATCCCCCTCATTGTTGTTTAACATCAAGACTGGCCCAGCAGAGAATGATAAAAAAATATCAAAGAAGGGGCCAAAAGAAGCAAATAGTTATAACAAGACCAGTTTCAATATGAAGGGTGAAATAACGCTCTCGTAAAACCATTAGTATACTTATTGTAGTAGCAGTTGAGTGTGAAAGGATATATTTAAATTTCGAGTTCGCATGGATAGAACGTGTTCCCTGCAACAATGCGGACAGTTTGAGGACACGGTATTCGAATAGTAAAAAAGACTTTGGAATATAGTCTTGACGATTGTGCAACAACTTATTCTATATACCAGATCTAGGTTCTCCGGGAAACTGTCCATCTTGAAAGTACTCTTGATCAGCCATGGCTAAAAATTGAACGTGGAGAACTTTCCGCTTTCCACTCGTTCAGGCAAAGAAAATGGCGTGTGCGAAGCTTCTAGTCTCGTGTAGAAAATGTAAACTGGTTAGCATAAACATGTTTCGTATGTTGACTCTGAACCCATATGAGTGACTATAGTTAATAGTAATATAATTCTGCATATATACTGCATGAAGCAATTTGGTATTTTTTATGTTTTAGATACAAAGTATTGTTGTTTCCATATATTGCGCTGGATTAAGAGTATGTGTCTGAAGTGCTTCCGTTTCCTGCATTGCTAGCAGACGCGCACTTGCTGAAACGTGTCCAATTTTTTCGCTATTAATATGGACCCAATTAAAGAACTCGGAGAAAGAATGCGTGAAGCAGCATGTATCGGTGATATCGAAACTATACAAAATTTAATCGAATCTCAAAGAATTGATATCAACAATGCCAATAGCATGAATGGTTGGTAAGTGCTCATTTCTGGTTGTAGTGCCACAAATGATTGTTTGGATGCCACTTTAATACTGAATTACAGTACACTCTTGACTTTTGCTGCAAATACGACAGTTCACTCGAAAGTAAGACCTTAGTAATAACCAGCTCTTCATAAATATGCATATTTATATTGAATGAAATATGTATATAAGGATTGTTTCAGAGAAGTGGTTGCTGTTTGTAAATTCTAAATGGTGAATGTATACCTGTCAAAGTAAATGCAGGAGAAGTGTGTTTTTAATTTTTATGAAGTACTCATAAAAGCCCATCTTTGCAAGAATTGTTACAATAGAGAAAATGAAATGCATACTTTTCAGGATGCTTAATATGAAGACCAAAGGATACCCCTGCATTATGATAATAATGATTGTCACATTCACAGTAACAAATTGCTTTCCATGTTTGCATTCATGGGAAAACTCATGGCCAAGCTTGAAATGTGACTTTATCAAGTGGAAGATTATTGTCCATACCTTGGTCTCAATGACAGAAATGACTCACAACTAAATGGATGGAGTGGTTATCTTCTGAGACAGTGACTTGGTTGATGGCATGTCATTATACACAAGCAGTGGGGTGTTCAGACATTAACAGGAGCCATCATGTAGCTTGAATTTTGCTGAGTATGACATTTAACACCCTAACCGCCACCCGGCAAAACGCTAGTTAGTAATATGTCATGTTGGGGATTACTTCATTCTGATACGTGGCCTGATTGGACATCATCAAGCTCATCAAGAACTGTTGTAAATATTTTCTCAGGTTTCTTTATAGTGAAAAATTACTCCATCATTTGCCATGTAAGTTGTGTGAGCAAGGCTTCTTGATCTCTAACAGGACTGCTCTACATTGGGGAGCCAAGAGGAATCACATAAGTGTTGTGAAGTATCTGATGGATCATGGTGCCGACCACACTATCCGAACAAATGAAGGACAAATGGCAGAAAATCTTACAAACAACCAGGACATTAGACTGTTACTTGGAGGTAAACATGGTTAACATGGTGTAGTAATAGAAATTAGTGTTCGGATCTAAACAGTACATTTTCGTAAGAAAAAGGTGTGAGAAAATTTTGTCATTTAGACAAGCACCTGAAAAATGAGTTTTGATCTTTATTCTAATGTGCATGTTTGTTACTTCTGCTTCATCCATGATTTTTTTATTTAATGGTTGAGAAAATAAGAACAATAAAGCAGTGTTTATACAAAGTAAGACACCTACATTTTGAGTACTATAATAAATTTGTTACAGAAATTGAAAATACTTTATCGATGATGTTGACATACAAATTTGCTAATCATTTTATTTGTGATGATGGTCAATTCCAGCTTCAGGGGATGTCCCACAAAGTCAGTCTAACCTGCCCATCACACCCAACTATCTACAAAACCCACCCTTTCCTCACAGCAAGAGCAGGAGCTTGGATACAAACCATACTCTGATGGCCAGCACTCCAGTTGTTACTAACCATGCAGGACAGGGAGACAATGGTAAGGTTACCTTAATTATCACTATGCTGCCTTAACACTGTTTAATGCTGCAGCAACCTTTTTCCAGCTTTTTGCATCTTTAAATAATCAAATTCAGGCATACATGTTATTATTACATTTCATTATTAGATTCAGACCATTTATTACCAGATTTAGTTTATTTTCTTTGTCTTGCTGAAGTTTCATCTAAAACCCCTTCCAAATACTGTAGAATTCTGCATGCTCTTTTTCCGGAATATACATCAAGTCCGACTTATATCAAAATTCATGATTAAGTGGTTCATGGTTAAGTAAGTAAAACTCCTAACAATAACCTTTGTATGTCTTTTCAGAGCTTGTCCTAAAAGCTCGCTTGGCAAATTCTGATGACAGAGATTTTATAGAAGTGGAGCTAGACAAGAATATGTTGACATATGAGGCACTACTGAATTTGTTGTGCGCTGAGCTTGGTGTAGAAAGGAGACTTGTACACAAGATTCGCAAGTTGCCAGACACCGTTGTTCGAAAAGATAAAGATGTCCGACGTCTTGTTGATTTCCAAGCCTTGGAACTTGTCCTCACTAACAAGGCTGTAAGAGCATCATCCCGAAACTATGGATATTCAGGAAGTCCAGGCATCAGATCAGAACAAATTTTGTATTAATTTGTAAAATTTGTTTTTAAATCTGTACAAAGATTTTTAAAGATGTACAGAAAAATTGATCACAAAACCGTTGAGAGCACTTTAGATGTGTTGAAGGGTTTTTTCATCATCAGCCATTGTCACGGATGTGGATCAGTGATTTTTTCAGTTATGTACATTATTAGTTTTTGCAATAGGTATAGTTGTTGTTCCTCTTATGCAGTCTGAGCTAAACACTTCATATTCTACCTGCCTGAACCTAGCTATTGGTATTCTTTGTAGATGTTTTAAATGTTACTGTATGATCTATTATTTGTTGAGCTTACTGGACTGAAGAAATCTTTAATTCAGTCAGTCTTTGGACTATGAGGCAAAGTTGCAGACCGAATATGGTTCATGGTGTAGACCAAGAAAGGAACTCTCTGGCTGTTCACATGGGACATATTTGAATCTGTCGATAAAATTCACCCCTGTTGTTACACGGGAATAGAAATTTGATCCAGTCTTGTTCATACTGCTCACCTATTTCAAGATTATTGAATTGATTGAGATAAGAGCCATCCCCGCCACAGGTTTATGTTAAAATGATGTTGATTGATACAAAATCAAAATGCTAAAATATTACTGGTATGGGATTTCATAGAAAAGATCATTGAATGTTGCTAATTTAGAAAGATCGCGTTAAAAATATTAATTTGTAAATGTCTTTCAAATGTACATTTATTAACAGGTTTATTGCTGATTTTATACCCTTTTACAAGATGAGTACTGTTGAAGTGTATTTTATGTATCTTGCTGATTTTGAATGTGTTCAATTCATGTTTGTTTTGGCATTTTTGGACAATGTACGTTTGGGGCAAGATGAAGGCTGAAAAGACGGGTTTTTTCCTATACCAATTTTGTATTACTTTATAGCACCTGCATAGATGTAGTAAAAAGTGACCAGAAAATCTTTGATTGGTCTTGTATTTTGCCAAGGTTCAAGGTTAAACCTTGTCATTAAAATCAGTTCTCTTACTCCTGGTTGATACACCTCTGTCCAGCAAGAGAGGTATCAATTTAATTAAAATTTCTGATGTTGTCTGATTGCAGAAAATAGATCTAAAACTTTAGTATTTTGTACTTTTAAAGCTTTGTCTGTATCTACCTTTTAAGCTTTGATTGTCCACCAGACAAACAAGTGGAATCACATATGGAGGACACAGTTTGAGTTTCATTTCTGTTGCAACAATCAAATACAAACCAAGTTATATAAGAAATGAAAGAAAAGTAATTTATATATTATTATTATCATTGGTGTTATATACAGAGGGAGACAAATAAGGGAACACTGAAAGTACAAGTGTTCCTTTATTCTTTTCCAGATTTCTTCACAAGCTTAGTATTGCACTGTGGGTGAAAATCGGAGAATATATAAAGGTACACTGCGATGAAGTGGTGTTCCCTTATTTGTTTCCCTCAGTATATAATGTCTGCACTGATCAAAATAATCAAATGGCTACTTAATTTACAGTGTTAGCATAGCTATCTAGAATCCTGTTCGCGTGACTGGTCACACAGTGGTATCAATTGAAGAGTATGTTGGTGCCTATCTTTTTAGAAAATATTCAACAGAAATATACACTTGTTACACAGTATTGTATGCGCCATAATGCCCCAGTTCAGCTGAGATGTGTTTTATGTTTTTACGTCAGGCATATGTACTGTATGCCTAAGACATTTGAAGTCTTGTTAGATGTGTTGTCATGCAAAGTATTTTTCATTTCGTTCTGTTGTATATCTGTGCTAAGTGTGTATATGTCTTTCCTCCCACCTCTTATGCTTCCACAAGCTTTGATCAAACTCTGTGATGTGATCTAGTCTGATTATGAGTAATTTTGTGGGTATGATTACACTTAATGTAAAAACTTGAAAATACATAGTATGGGTCAAGGCAAGACAATTTTTTGTGTTTGGGTAATTGGAACCATGTGTGTTTTCTGAGGCCTCTGGTGGGGGTAGTCAGGTGGCTATTTTGTTTGAGGATGTAGGCAGAATAATTGTCTATTTGCCATGACAGGATCTGCTGAATCTGAGAGTCACTTATTACTCACTCATAAAGAGGTCACCCATTTCATAACAAGACACCTTTTTCAACAGTGTTTGGAAACATCATTTGTGGAGGGACTGTTATATAACTGAATACTGTTAAATAAATTCTACACTCAAATGGCTAATCAGCTGGTCATTTGAATGGAAAATACTGGGTTGCTGTACTCTGCAAAAACAGACAGATAGCCTTTACCTAGCTGATATGCTATTTTCCACAAAACCGCATCTCAAAACTGTACTATCGACATAGTTTACTTGTATGTCAAGTCTCTCTGTTTATACATTTGCCTGTGATCTGTTGCAAGATTGGTGAACACATTATAGTGCTGTAAGCATTATGGCACTATCAAGGTTCAGAGTATCACTAAAAACATGATCATCTCAACATTGGTCTATACTGACAGCCTTGAACTTTGTGTTGTTCATGAGAGTAAAGGCCCAGGAACCAAGAAGTTTGAAATGTCAATGCAATCTCGGCGAGTGAATCTTTTGTTCAGACAAACGGAACTGATTGTGTAGACTAATGGTAATCACAAAAATATTCATTACATATGAACCATCTGCTAATTCACATGAACTCTTACAGCCAACATGACATCACACTATGGTCACCTCAAATTTCAGATGTTGTATTCATTCACCACTCTTTTACCATCTTCCTCTTTTTGATAATGTGCAGATGAATTAAGTTAAAAATTAATACTACAATCATCCCCGTTTTTAATGCAGAAGTATTTCCAAATGTGACTCACTGTCACATGTAAGAAACGTTTGGAAATATATGTGTAATATAAACAGTATATAACTTCCTTTTGTTCATTAGATACATTTGGGTGCACACTTCTAATAACAACAACATCAAACAGGGACCTAATCAGTAATATCTATTCCTTCCCACATTCAGCTACATGCTGCTACAATTGAAATATTTGTTAGGCAGCATTCAACCCAACTTTGTCACTGGTCACATGTCACAGGGAATATATGTATATTTTTATAAAACTACCACATATAGAACAAAGGAATACCACAATAATCCTGTTTTAAGACCACTGTTGTGATACTGGCAGAGAATTGTATCTAAGTCCCAACATTTGATTCATGTTGTAAATATATGATTCCAGGGTGACATACTGTGTAGGGTAGGCAGGATACCGAGAATACTGTGAGCTCTCACCTGTCATTGCCTGTTGTCACTGCTAGTCATGGATTTGCCTGCACAAATAACACACATACTGCAAATTGGTATCACTGGTGAATTCAGAGTTGGGTACTATTGTATGTCAGACGCTAACCTGTTAACATGTAGCAGTCCATCCGTGTGTTTTTGTTACCTCACATGACTGAACGTCAAGTGAGCTTATATCATTGTGTGTCTTTCTTTGTCTGGTCATCTGTTTGTTTTCCATCTGTGGTTGACCTTCACATCTCTGGAGGGCTTATGGTACAGATACTTTGGAATGATTAGAGCAAGGTGCCTGTTGAATGTGCTCAGAGATTTCAGGTCTGGATTTTCTGTTCATGAGTCAGATGAACTACAGAGCCTATGGCTCAAGTTTCCACATCTTGATTTGGGAAGGATGTGGCACTTTTTGAAAATCCTGGATTTGGCTTTTGATATTAATATTGTTTGATTAAAATGCCTTTTTGGCTTATAATGCAAAATTTCCAGTGTCGTCAATATTGAAGTCAGTTTGTGGAGACATTAGTTCTCGTCCAAGCCGTTTCTTTTAATGTCTTGTTCAGTGTAAGATGATGCTTCTCTTTTTCCAGTACTTCAAAGGAAATGATGAAAACTGCTGTGGCAGTATAACAGTGTCTTCTTTCTCTTCACCGCCAACTTTGTGTTTTTGTCAGGCCTTTGTTTTAGTATTTCATACAAATAGTTATTGTCCTAAGCACCATTATACTTTGTCATTTATCTGGTTTTGCAAAATGTTATGCTTCTATTGATATTATTCTCTTTACTCAGTTGTACCAGCCTTTGCCTTTTCTCCAAACCACCCAGGCTGTATGACCGATATTTTCCCACCATTTCCTTTTACTTTATACAATTTTAACTTTTTAGCTTGCAAAATAAATCACATTTTTCATATTACAAATATATCTGTAGGTATTTTTCATGATAAAAGATGTGTGGATTTCTCATTCCACTTTCACTTTGATATAAAGAAACAAATCAAATTACCCCTCATAATTTTCCTGTATAAATAAACATGATTATGTATTGATAATCAGTCATCAAGTTTGGTTGATTTTGAAAGTTCAGTAATCGCTATCATTCAAGGGAGTCAGGTGAGCTACAGTGCCTTGATGTTGTTTTGAAACACTTTTAGCTCATTCCATTCAGAGTCAAATGTGATGCCTCCCTGCGTGATGTTCTGACAATCTGTCCATAGAACCTGCTGTCAGGTGGGTCGAGCAAAATTAGACAGCATAGTCTAAATGAAGGATGAGTTGGTTCTATTTGTCATACTATTGCTGAGTGCGGCATAAAATTCACTCACACTATTAGTAATATAATGTGCAACATGATATAATTATCATTATGAATTGAGGTACTGATAGACTCTTTTTTGTTCGAAATCATATCTAAATAGTTTTCACACAAATAATGTGTGTAGAACATGTATTCAGTAATGCTAAAATTCTGTTATGTAAATATCGTACTGTAGTTAAATGTCATAAATGTTGTATGTTATTGTCTGTCTTTTATTTTTACTTATATATATATATATATATATATATGTGTGTATGTGTGTGATGAAACCTAAGGAGTTATTTCATGGTACAGTTTTGGTTTTCAAAATGTTAGTTCAAACTGTGGTATCAGTGGCAGTGTGAATAGTGTGGATTTGTAGTCAATAAGATTGTTCTCAGACACCAGTTCTTCAAGCATTTTGCGTATATATTTTTGTTTTTAAACCATGTAGTCAATTATTTATTAACCTTTACAGTGATGACAAATCTTCTTACGCTTTTGTTTTGTTCTACAATTGTGAAATACTGTATCAGCTGATCTGCCCAAACAGTATAGTGTGTAAAGGGAACAAGTACTTGTTGTTTGTGTAAAGTACATTGTGCATAATATTCCAAACTGGGAACTTTGAAGCTGAATCTCTGGGCTTATAAAAATACAGATCCATATACCCAGTTGTGAGGGCACAAACTTTAGAAACATATACATGTATATGTACATATATACACAAAGAACCTATTTAAGCACCCCCTGTATTTTTGCAATGATAGGTTTTCAACATGTACATAAAACTTCTCGTGGTGACCACGATGGAAAAGCATGAGTCTTTTCTGATCTGCATGATTCTTTGACTCTTAAGAAAAGACAAAATGATTTTATGATGATAATTGCTTATTTCCTCTTCCCCCCCCCCCCTACTGATTTTCATACAAAACCAGGTCTGTGAACGTATGGCCCTGGAATGTTTAATGTTGAATTTATTGGTGAATGTGAACATTCAAAATGTCATTTTGTGTTCTTACTCGATTCAAGGTCAATACCGAGTGTCACCTCCATGTGACTGTATGACAGCCAGCACCCTCCTCCTCATACCCCTTGTGGGGGGAGTAGTCTAGTGGTTAAAGCGTTGGATCCTCACGCCGAAGACCCGGGTTCGAATCCCCACATGGGTACAATGAGTGAAGCCCATTTCTGGTGTCCCCCGCCGTGATATTGCTGGAATATTGCTAAAAGCGGCGTAAAACCAAACTCAGTCAGTCAGTCAGTCATACCCCTTGTCAGCCTCCTGATCCTCTGAAGGGGGCATTCTACACTATTCCTCGTGTAAGGCAGCTTCCAATTGGGCCAGGTTCTGTACAGGAGGATCCCTTTGTTGCACACAACGACCTACCATGTCCTAGATATGGTCCAAAGGGTTAAGACCGGGGCTCATTCAATCGTGAGATATGTCAGGGGGTGCTTAAGTAAATTCTCTGTGTATAGTTCTAAGAAGGCAGAAAGAAGACACAAACAGTGAAAAGCTGTCACATGTACTGTTGTCACTACATGTCTGAAAACCTACAGTTATCATCAGGTTAGATATGGCTGTTAAAGTCTAATGAAAAACATCCCTGTGAATCTGTTTTCCTGTTTTTCTGTCCGTGATTTGTATTCATAAAATCCCAGATGGAAACTGCTGACAAAAATTTAACATTTGCACATGTTGTATGTGATGTAAATAAGAATGACATATTTGTAGACAAAATATGTTGGTTTATTTTCTTTTATGAAGTTGATTGCATAATCAAAACTTTGAAACTGACAGCTGATAACAGCTTTGTATCTACAGTACAACCAGAAATTATTGAGAATTTAAAGATTGTAATTTTTGTATTTTTTTCACTCATTACTCACGTATTAAATGTGAATATTAGCAGAACTCTGGATTCAAAGACAGGTGAACAGTTAGTATTTTGTCAAGTCACCATGGGTAGCAATGCAGGCTTCAATGCGGCGGGGCATACTACTGATGAAAGAAGTTAGAAAGTCGTGGTCCATGCTGTCCAAATATCGGACCACCTCTTCTTTCATTTCAGCAATATTTGTCAGATTTTTCTTATTGACACTTTCCTTCATAAGTCCCCAAACATTTTCTATTGGATTTTGGTCAGGGCTATAGCTTGGCCAATCTCATAATGTCATATGTTGGGTCCGAAACCAGGCCTGTGAATGCTTTGAACGATGTTTTGAGTCGTCGTCCTGCTGGAAAATCCAATAATTTCCATAGAACACGTGAGCAGATGAAAGTAAATGTCCCTCGAGAATATCTGTGTACCGCTCACTGTTCATATTCCCTTCAAATACACAGAGGGGCGTTGCCCCTAACCCAGATATGCCACCCCACACGTTAACTTTCGGACTGTACTTTGGGCGCTGATACAAAGGTTTTTCAGTTTGTTTGGTCCAGAATTTCAGTGTATTAGGAAACAGCCACACAGAACTTTCATCTGAGAAAATCACACTGTCCCAGTTAAAATTTCTATGCTGTAAACACCAGTTCAACCTTTGCTCCTCTTGTTCAGGTTTCATGATCGGTGATGGAATTCCTCGACTTTTCTGCCAACCCATTGCATGCACCTCAGTTCTAATTGTCTCCTTACAGACAGCCACAGTTCCTCTATCAATCATATCCAGCCTTAAGTTTTCTAAACTCCTTCGTTTGCTTTTAGAAACAAGAATACCAAGCCGCCTCCTGTCACCGACAGTCAATTTTCTGGGCCTACCTGCGCCTCCCTGGTGCTCAATGCCGTATCCATGTGCAATATTTTTCAAAACACGATAAACAGTAGACAAAGGGATGCCTCTTCTACTTGAAATCACTTTAGCTGATCTGATGTCCTTGTTATAATACTCTAAAATCAACTTCCTCTTCTCTAAATCATCCATACTGAGGATCATTGAAAATGTCGTCTGCTAGCAAGTAAACAAAGAGGGATAACTCTTCACACACTAATGAAAAAGGATTAACGAAGTTGTCTCTCTTGAATGAAACCAAGCACTTTGTCTTTATAGCTGGTCAAGGTTATTTATACTAGAAATCCAATTAAACATATTCCTAAAATTCTCAATAATTTCTGGTCATACTATATTTGCATGTTATATACATTTGGCAGGTACAAGATACATAACACAAGTGTCTGCTTCCTGTTTGCTGGTAGGTCTTGCAGTTTCAATTTTAGGCCAGACCAATTTTATTTCTTGTTTTACGGATCCGCCGGTCGCATTTTGTTCCAGAATAAGAAAAAAATATGTTTAATTTTCCCTGCTCAAAAAATAAAATCCTCATGTTTTTATTGGCCAAAAATGTAGTTACAAAAAAAAACAATTTTGATTGTTTTTTGCCCCATATAAAATTCATAAATTGCCAAAAATAAAATACTTTTGTATTTTAAAGGAAAATTATTTTGACTAGTGATTTTTATTTATTTTTTTAAAAATTCTCCTGCCTTTAGGTTTTCTAAGGACAAAAATCCGTAAAACAATAAATAAAATTGGTCTGGCCTTATCATTAATCACAAGTGGTAAATTTTGTATATTTTTGCAATGCATGGTGCACTTTGTAGACAAAGAGGACTTTTACAGTTGGTTTTGCAGGAGATGAATTCGCTGTTGAAATGTCAACTTACCAAATAAACTGTTGCAAAAGTACCTGTTTGTTATATTCCAGAAAAGGACCCATGACAAAGGATACCAGTTCTGTTTTCCACCAAAAGAAGGTCCTGTTGAATTGCTTTGTGTAGTGATGTTACACAGATGTCCTCTTTGCCAATAGTTGCCGATAATTTGTGAATAATTGTCATCTACTCACAACTGCACTAGTTTATGCACAAGTCTTGAAACCTCCTATCTTTCCCAAAATCAAACAAACATAGATGCAGGTAACAAGGGATGTGGATGGGATGACACTCTAGTATTCCTTGAATAACATGTATTAACAATGATTACTTCTGTTTGATAATTCTTATGACTTCCCTACCTCTATAACATGGGAGCCAGATCATGCATACCATCTGCATGTTCTGACCTCTAGTTATCTATGTATAGCTCTCAGTAATAGAATCTTGATTCACCTTAGAAGGCATAAATCTGAAAACATGGAGCTGAAGTGACTATGTGATAAAATCCATCGAACTACTATTATATTTGCATTCCTATGCCATTATTTCATGGACGATGTGTCAGCTGACGTATCAAGAAAGTTTAAGGTGCTTCAAGCCATTAACTTATGCCAGAAAACCCTCCATCAAATATATTTCATCTTTTAAAATAGTGTCAGTAGTGTCTATGTAACCACGGTCCTAGAGCCTATTGGCTATACAAGTTCCATGGAGATCTGATAGATCTTGACCTCCAGTTCTCTGTGAATCCAGAAAAGTCTATAACTGAAGAAGTGCTAACAGTAATGGTTCATATCGCCTCTCATTCAAAGCAGACAATACTACAGGAATGTGGAGTTCTCACATCTTCTAGTAACAGATCTCAGATTTCAGTGGCAGATCCAGAGGGGGGGTTCAAAACCACCACCCCCCTTTTGAAAATGACTAAAGACCACCTTGATGTTATGAACCCCCTCCTTTGAAAATTTCTGGATCCACCTATGTCGCACTAGGTGAACAAAGTGTGCCAAATCAACTTCATACACATGAAATTTGGCATACTGACATTTCCATTGGTAGAAGTAATGACAACTACATATACTCCATAATCCTACGTCCAAGATGCATCCCTTCTCCAGTTGTTTGAGTGGTTCTTCCACTATAGCTCTAAAGCTGAAAATATCACTGAATATGTGTTGTAACTGCAAGTGAGTGACTTTAATATATCATGTGGTACCTTTTCTGATATGTTAAACTAATGTGGTGTCTGAAACTAAAATGTCATCACAACCAAATTCTACTCCTTTGCTCGAATTAACAATGTTCCTCTTTTCCCCATTAAAATATTCTTTCTCTAACTAGTGTGTGAAACTATTCCAAGAACAGACCAAATTGAGGTGACATTATTTCTGCAAGTGTTTTAATACCTCCAGATACCTAGACCTGTGTATATTATGTTGACTACGATACAGCCAATATCTCCCTGCCCATGGATTTACAAACACCAGGAAATTTCCATATTTACTTCCAGCAAATGTCATCTGAACCATGGAACCGAGTGTGAGTGTTGTTGAATGTTGCAGCAAGTACCGTATACCGTCTATAAGCCGAATTTTGAGGACCAAAAAAAGCAGTCTGTAGAAGGGGGTCGTCTTATCCATGGGTTACACTTTCGTCAAACTTTTTTTTTCCAGGGGTAAGAAAACAACATCTCACTTCCCGTGAACAAACAACAGAAGACGACTTTGTCAGTAGAGACGTCAAATTTGCAATTAAACATCACTAGACAAGATTATTTACCTTTTAAGTTCTAAGTTGTTTTTGCTGGGCATTGTATTATTTGTAGGGATTAAGATTACCGTGTGTATCTGAGCTGGAAATAGCAATCAGCTGTGCACATGTTTCCTGGCGATCAAGTTCAAACATGCATAATAATATAACGGGACGAATTCTGATGCAGTCATCAGTAAAATATAATACAGAATACTATTATTTAACCCAAAGAAATATATCCTAGCATTAAGTAATTTTAATTACAGTTTTTGCTCTATAATTAATTAAGATTAAGATTACCGTGTGTATTTGAGCCGGAAATAGCAATCAGCAGCGAACAAGTTCAAACATGCACAATAATATAATGGGACAAAATTCTGACGCAGTCGACAGTAAAATATAATACAGAGTACTATTATTTAACCCAAAGAAATATAACCTAGCATTGTGTAATTTTAATTACAGGTTTTATGTAAAATATATATAATCAACACTAAGGTCATACGGACCCTCATGAACGTGGTAAGCAGAAGTTGTACGCACATGGAATGGGGTAAAATACGGAAGCCATTTAAATTCACACATTTTTACCGATGTTACTGTAAACTGGCAGTCAATGGAAAACGAGGCGGTAATCAGTTCGTGATTGTTGAATGGGGTAAAATAAGCAAGCCAGTTTGTTGCTACAATACATGATATTTAGAGAAACAAAATATATTATGCATTTTCTGTCAACTACACTTTGTTTTGATCCATGAGTAGACACAATATATATGATTGTGAATTCTTTGAATAATGTGGACCAAGTTAAAAATTATTGCTAACTGCCAGTTGTCTGTGGTCTGTGTTTGCCGCGATTAGGACCCCATCGCGGGGGATTGACTTATGCATGAAACATATCATTTTGACACTGATTTTAAGGATCAAGTTTGGGGGTCGTCTTATCCATGGGGTCGTCTTATAGGCGGTCATATACCGTAATAGCCTAGCAATATCATCTTCTCTGGCTCACAGCCAGTCCCCACTCCCACCATGCGTCTGTAAACACCTCAGTGTCTAAACTATTGCAATCATGCCATGGTTAGTGGTTGAAAAACTTAGTGTCACCACTAAACAGCAGTGTACTGTATGGTATTTAAGATACAGTGAGCTGGTAAGAGTTTTCATCGCTTTAGCAATATTCAGCTGTATCATGGCTCTGGACACGAGACATCGGCCTCCCCCAGTGTACCTATGTGGGGAATCAATCCTGGGTCTTCAGCATGATGAGCGAATGCCTTAAACCACTTGACTTCCCCATTGATCCATTCAAGAGACAATTCCAAAGACATTAGTTATGTACAGACATTTAATCCCATTTTTAAAAGAAAATCAGTTCAAGATTTGGTTTTCTGTTTCTTTGACTTCTTTGGTTGCTTGATCCCAGATTTCAAAGTCTTTTGCTTCAGTGCCACACTCTTGGACTTTGTTGGAGCCACACTAGATTTCTTTGAAGTTTTTGCTTGAGCTGATTTGATCTTTTTCTTCTCAGTAAGACTGTCAAGATCAAGGTCTTCATCTTCAGCTACCCGCTTCCCTTGAATGACCTTGACATCCCCAAATCGAGAGACCTTGACCTTTGACCCAAGAATAGTTGTAATTTCCTCTGGCTCATTGTCTTCTACCTTTCTCTCCTTGCGTGGCAAAACAACCTCAACATCATCTGAAAATAATATGCAAATTTACAGAGTGTATACTTCAATAAATAGAATATATTTACTTTTCGACTGACAACAGTCAAGTATGCTACTCACTTGTCAATTTTCAATAATTTGCAAGACAAACAACTGAGACGACTGTTGAAGTTAAACATATTGAATATTTGGGATTACACTTTCTCAGTAAAGTACAAATTCTACAACCAAACTACTGACTAGAATCTGTACTTTACTGAGAAAGTGTAATTTCAAATATAACATGATGCATCTGACCACTTTCTAAAAGGCATTGTGTAATCATGGCATTGGAGACATGCCCATATACCCTTGTCAGAGGGGCACACACAGCACTCCAATCTAGTATTGTGTATTCATGACTGAAGTTATTCTATCTCTACTCTTCAAGACATCAAGCAAGTGAAATGGTACAGTGTGATCAAAAAGAACAAATCTGAAACAAGAATGAAAGACATGGTTGGGGCAATCATAGCTGCAAGTGAATCACTGGACATAGAAACTTTTGATACTTTATTTAATTTAATACACATAATAAACAGTATTGATGAACAATGATCTTCACAAACATGTAAAATGTTAAATGAACACTACCTGTGCTGACAAAGAGGGGAACCGACATTGAGCCTTCAGTCTTGATGTACATGCTCTTAATGTTGATTGGTCCTCCTGGAATACCTGTTGCAATCTGATTGGCTGCTGTGATAACATTGTCTACTACATGTTTTGCCTTCATCTCAGAATGTGCAACTGTGGACATGCTGTAAGATAAGGTAGTAATTGTAAGTCATACAGTCTTAAAAATAATTCCCATTCCCTAACAGGGTAGGTATTACTTTTCAATACTGGTAGATGACAAAATGATATAAACAATTGTAACAGGAACTAATATTGTATGTCATGATTTTAATTTTAGAAAACACATAATATGAGCATGAAGATGTGAGTTCATGGCCCAAAGGTGAAATGACCTGCTACTATCTACCTCAGGAATAAAAATACATATTTCCATGATGACTGAGCTAAGAGGAGACAGCTGGTGACTGGACGCTGATCATTGACTTTCAGAGAGGGTAAAAGGGAGTTTGACCTTGGTTAGGATGGTCTAAAACTGTTGCCACGGCACTGTAGCTCATCATGATATATGTAGTCACCAATACAGACAAAAACATCTGCAGAAGTTGAGTTTAGTTTTACGCCGCTTTTAGCAATATTCCAGCAATATCACAGTGGGGGATACCAGAAATGGGCTCCACACATTGTACCCATGTGGGGAATCGAACCCGGGTCTTCGGATGATGAGCGAATGCTTTAACCACTAGGCCACGTCTGCAGAAATACTTCTGACTAAAAACTTACACTAAAAGCTAATGATTTGAACAAAATAACATGCCAACATGATCAAAAACATACATGCCAACTCCCTTGTGCTGGAGAAGATGTTTACAGAGTCAAACAGGTCTTTTGAGAGCAATTAAGAGCATGGTTCAAATTTTGAAACATTTGAAAGAAATGGGCATAAACAGCCATGTGGCTGCTGTGGTTCACCTTGAGTTGAGTTGGGCTTTACGTCACATCGGCATTATTCCAGCCATATAGTGAGGAGAACAAGTGAACAACTGGGCTGCCATCATCAGCTGATCAGCGTGAGAACAAGTACATTTTCACTTCACTGGTGTTGTTTCTTCACACTAGAGCAACCCGTGAAGGTCCGGGTTAAAATATTGATCTTCAGTAACCCATGTTTGTCGTAAGAGGCGACTAACGGGATCTGGTGGTCAGGCTTGCTGACTTGGTTGACACTTGCCATCGGTTCCCAATTGTGCAGATCGATGCTCATGCTGTGGATCACTGAATTGTCTGGTCCAGACTTGATTATTTACAGACTGTCACCATATAGCTGGAATATTGTTCAGCTCGGTGTAAAACTAAACTCACTCACACTATAGCACCAGCTACAGAAGACTAATTCCAACCCAGTTTACTAAGGGTTCAAACTAAAGGAGACCATCTGCCAATACTTCATACAGGAGGAGCATATCGAAGAGTGACTGACAACTACAGCCATTTTTCCATAAAAAATTAGTTTTTAGGTTCTAAGTGTTCCCTTGCAGTTACACACACTCACCAGGACGGCCCTCGTCCACTGATGTAGCAGTGAGATTTATCCAGGGCTTGCTGCAGCTCCTTCTTCAGATCACTGGCACCCATGTTCACACCAATCGGCAGTCTGGAAAAAGAGGTTGAAACAACTAGTCAGCTTCAGTCAACAATGTTATCCTCACCATGTTGGACAGACTACATGTTTGGAACAGTGAACTAGAGACTGACAGAGCCAGAACACCCTGTGTAGTGTGACATGACTGTACCAACAGCACACTCAGTTGCCTGGCTAGGCTGCCACAATCACATCACTGAAAGCCCATCCTGCAACAGGTGCTGCATCTTGTCAACAGTCTGGAGAGTGGAACATATTTGCAGCAAGACACTTGTTCTATTCTGATGGTGATACAGTGTTCAGAATAAGGACAAAGATCCTTGACATGATTCTATGTTAAGATTAAGATTTTGGGGGTGTTTTTCTGAAGGCTCAAATTTAATGTCTACACCTTAAGTTCATTTAGTTCCCTTGTACAGGTTCAACACCAAGTTGGCGGCAGGGGAGCCTAGTAGTTAAAGAGTTCGCTCGTCACACCGAAGACCCGGGTTCAGTTCCTCACATGGGTACAATGTTTGAAGCCCAGTTCTGGTGTCCCCAGCAGTGATATTGCTGGAATATTGCTAAAAGCGGCGTAAAACTAAACTCACTCACTCAAAACCAAGACAGAGCAGGAAGTGCAAGGAGTCACTGACCAACACCTTGCCAGTTCCTAGTTCCATAATTATTGCTTTCATTACCCAGTCAGGGTGGAAATAACTTTAAAATTGCTAGTGTACTCCGGTACAGGGGCACATGTAAAATCACTTGCCCTGATAATTTTTTCGCTATACTGGCCGATTTTTTTGGTGATTTTTTTATATAAGCAACATAATTAACATTGGAATGTCAACCGGACACCGGTACAGCGTGATATACAAATGTGCTTGCCCGACAGAAAAAAACACTGGACTTGGACGTCGGGCAATGGGTTATTACCACCCCTGCTAGTGATACCTATTTGTTTCGATACAAGTAGCATTCAGTGAGTTTTACACCCTTCACATCAAAGTTGGCTTACCAAGATGGGGCTTCACTAGTACAAACTATGTTGGATTCTTGCCAGAGGTATATTCCTGTGATATCATTATGCTATCTCTGTTAAAGAGTGACTGACAACTACAGCCATTTTCTAGCCGAGCTGCTAATTAACTCCCTGTTTATCTTGCACATGGAATAAACCTCTGTCCTATAGAAGAAGAGAGATGAATAAATGTGCTTTCATGGTGATGTTAACAAGGACATGTGTCATTTAGATAGACACTGGATTACTTTGGGAAACAGGACACTATTCAAGAACAGGATAAGATCATCAGAGTTAGAAATAAACTCCAAAGGTTAACTAACCATGGCACAGATAGTGCCTTGTAGTGAGGAATCTGGGAAATGTGTACTACCCCTGGGTAGGTGGGCTAGTGGGCCAGTGTTAACCTCTAACCCTAGTAATCAAGGCGATAGTGAATCAGTGAAATGTATTTAAAACTGCTTTCACAAATTTTAGACACAAGCAACTGAAAAAAAGGAATGACCTGCAAATTCCAACCATTTTCTATTCAAGAAGTTAATTAAGTCTCAATTAAAGGAGAATACTAGGCAACTGCAATAATTTGATGGGTGAAAGATAAAGTCATCAGAAACATATACCACAATTTGTATTTAAAAAATATGGTTTATTATGTTTTTATCGCAAAAACAGTTTCTGTTATCTGAGCTTCGGCCATTATGCATATTCCGCTGGAACTCACGTGACCTTTCCGCTCGTGACATCATATGTGACAAGCATCCGCCATATTGCCAAAGAACAAGAGCAACAGTAATACAAATCGTGTTGTTTCTGTCGTTTTTGTAAATGGTACGATGGTGTATTCCGTTGCCTAGGGGTGCACGGAATCATCGAACAATGGAAAGAGCAACCATTTCTTCCGTTTTGCAAGTAAAGAGACAGATTTAGGCAGGAGAAATGTTCCGATCATTCCGAGTCGGACGCATGTGAAAGAGACATGCACACATGGGGTATAAAAATCCAAAAGCTAAACTGAAGAAGGAAGAAGTACCCACGAGATTTATTTATACTCCATCATTCCCTGTTACAACTGACTGTCAGTGGTATTTTTAACATAAGATTAAAGCCTGATTGCCAGTCAAATTGCCCCAGCAAATTTGGTAAAATTGCCCTGGAGTTTAATCCCAAATTGCCCCAATTTATTTAAAATGATTAAATATAGGCTATGAATGCATAGTTTTGTCAACTTTGATATTATGTTCTTCATAGAAAAGTATATACATAGTTACGAGTTTACTAATGGAACCTTTATCAGAAATATTTCTTCCTAATAACTGTTATATGAAGAACCCATAATATCAAAGTTGACAAAATCTATGCATTTACGGGATATATTTAATCATTTTAAATAAATTTGACCAAATTAGAATGAATGACCAAATTTGCTGGGGGGGCAGTTCGACTGTACCCATGAGATATAGATTATCAAAATCAGTGAGAGATTTCACATAAGCTTGAACATGTTTCGCGTATAACGTTCTCTTTTCGGTTTGGAGTTTCGAAACATTGTCTAATACATACAATGCAATGGCAAATCATGGTTTGGAGTCCAATTAATCCTCGCAAGACCTCGCTATTTGCAGTAGCAGTCTATGTCATTCCGAAACATTTTCTATAACCAAATACAATGGCAAATCATGAAGTACTTGTTGCTTTCATTGTTTTCCATTTTGTCCATTATTAATCTACAGTCACCCATTTGACACAAAAGGAACTGCATCAGAGTTTGCTGGCTGGAACTGTTTTACATATTTGACAGTATTCTTGTAAATGAAATGGAAAGTTCAGTTTCTGTATTCTCATTGAAAGCTGACAAGATGTCATTCTACAGGCTATGACATCAGGACATCTTTTAAGTACCATGGAACTGTTAATTTGTTGAGGAATAATCAAAGAGGAACTCAGCAACAGGCAAATGATGTCGTTGATACCCCTCTGATTAGTATTTTATAATTCACCAGTTTTATTGCTATTTTACAAACTTTTTGTTCACTTTTAATCACGGAAGGTGACTTTTAGAATATCCTTTACAATATATCAAAAGTTTTGTTTTTGTTTGTATTCTCCTTTAATCTTGCACATGGAATAAATCTATGCAAAAATAAGAAGAGATGATAAATGTACATCCATCAGATGTTTGCATATCACAAAACTGTCACCTCAGAGCCTACTAACTGACTTCTCAAAGAATGCATCGAGGAAGAAGAAGGCTAACGAGAGTGAGGCTTTATTATAAAGAAGCATTTGGTTTGGAGGAGTGACTGACAACTCAAGGCATTTTCCCCACTGAGCTGCTAATTAACTCTCAATTAATCTTCCACACAGAATAAATCTCAGTCCTACGATACAAGAATGAGATGAATGAATGTGCATTTTTAATACTGAATGCATCAAAGAGAACACCTACACCTGAAAGATAATTGGGACCAATGACACAAGTCTGTAGCAAGACAATCTTAAATTATGTCTAATTTCCCTGTATATATTTGTGAATAAAGATTAGGTAAAAAGCAATCCTCTATACCATTATTGTCTTAATTCTTATGTCGGTAAATCAAAATACCACTGATAATTTCCAAAAAGCAAACAAGCCAGGAGGGACTGATCACTTCACTTGCAGACTGTCTTGTTACACACATGGCAATAGACTGGTTGGCATGAGACTCCGATATAACTACATGATTCAGTAAGATCCAACAGTCATTAAAACTCATGATTAAACATGATAACTACTGATACATGAAGCTTTGTCTGAGAGTGACTGACAACTGCAACCATTTTCTGACTGAGCTGCTAATTAACTCCCAGTTTATCTTGCACATGGAATAAACCTCTCCCCAATGGTGGAAAAAGGTGAATTAATGTGCATCTGAAAACACTCCATCTCAATTGAAGAAGTATTGGCAAGCTGGACTTGTAAATATTTGAATGAAAGAAACCTACAATGGCAAATCATGAGGTACTTGTTGCTTTCATTGTTTTCCATTTTGTCCAATAATGCACATCGGCATCAGACTCGCTATTTGTCAGTAGTGTGTGCCGTGAAAGTTGTTCTCTATTCTCATTGGCTGACAAGATGTCATTCTAAGGCTATGACCGAGTACCATAATTATTTCTATAACCAAAAACTAGGGAAACATACGTTGTCCTGACTAGTATTTCATAATTCACCAGTTTTTGTGGAATAACTTATCTGTGTTGCACATATTCTCTGCTCGACCAGGCTGGGATCTTGTATCGAGACTTGATACGTTATTAATGAGAACTAGGATCCTAAATTTTTCAACAAAATAATTCCACTGTAATTTTTGTAGCAGATAATATCTATTTTCCCCTGTCTAAAGCATAATTATTTTGTTTTTAAATCCTAGACACCCTACAGTCACCCATTTGACACAAAAGGAACTGCAATCACATATTTATAGGGGTGAGTTTGCTGGCTGGAACTGTTTTACTTTTTGCTGACAAATAGTATTCTTGTTAAATGATATGGTCTATTTAAAATTTATTTTGACCTCAAGCGGTGCCTCAATTTCGCTTGATTCTTCTTCATCTTCACTGAAAGATTGTCTTGAAAGATGTAAAATCGGATCGTATTGATACGGTCTAACATCCATTTCAGAAATGACATCAGGAACATCTTTTACTGTTTCAGAATCAATGGACACTGTTAAGTTGTTGAGGAAGAATCAAAGAGGAAGCCATCAGCAACAGGCACATATGATGTCATGTCACGCGATACCCCCTCTGCTCATTAACTGTCAGGTGTTTCCGTAATAGACGGAAACACGAGTATGTTTTTTGTGTTTTTATTGCTATTTTACAAACTTTTTGTTCACTTTTAATCACGGAAGGTGACTTTTAGAATATCCTTTACAATATATCAAAAGTTTTGTTTTTGTTTGTATTCTCCTTTAATCTTGCACATGGAATAAATCTATGCAAAAATAAGAAGAGATGATAAATGTACATCCATCAGATGTTTGCATATCACA